GGCAGGGAGGGGAAAGGTCAAGGTCAAGGTCACACAGCACATAAATGGCCGTCAGGATCTAGACCCACATGGGTTAGCTGTCCTCAGCCCGGCCTCCCCAGCATTAACCAGCCGCTCACCAGTTTAACTGCGTCAGGGAGGGAGTGTCCATCAGCCTGGGTCAGTGCCTCTCCTGAGGCTGGGAGGTGGGGTGGGGGTGAGAAATGAGGTGGTTAGAAATGCCCTACCCCCAGGGTAACATTGTGAAATGAACAGAAAGTGTCACACCCCAAGTCTGGTCAGGGTTGTGGGAGGAGACAGTTTTGGACAGCAGAGTGGAGGTTTCCTGCTACAGGGCAGGGAGGGGGCAGAGAAAGAGCCGCTGCAGGCCCGGGCATCAGGACTCAGGTGTTCCTGGGGGGGGGGGGGGGGGGGGGCAGGACAAGGTCCGGTGCGTCAGGGTAGTGGCTTGTTCCCGGTGGTGGCCTCGAGGGCCAGAAGTGGGCGGATTGGTGAGTCCCTTGGCAGGCAGAGCCCACAGGATTGCTGACGGAGTTCATGAAGGGGAGGGAAGAGGCAGATTCTTAGGTTTGGGTCTGAGATTCAAACAGATATTTGCCACTGTGTCGGGCCTGTGCTAGAAGCTGGGGGTGGGGATGAGCGAGAACACACCGATCCCTGCCTGTGCAGGGGCCATTCCGGGCACGAGCTCGGAGATCATTGTGAACAAAGGCCCACAGGAGGGGAGGGAGTGGCCATGTGGATAACGGGCGGGCGGGCAGAAGGTGGACGCAGAGGCAGGGAGGCCCTGGGCAGGGCTTGGTGAGGTGGAGGAATCGCAGGAGACAGGGGTGGCGGCACAGAGAAGGGGTCCAAGACCCGGCGGGGTCAGTCAGCCGGCTTTCGTTTGGGGGAACAGGAGCTGGGCTCTGCTGAGAGAGTCCAGACTGGAAATAGGAGCCTGGGAAGTACTGGGTGGTTGATGGTGTTGAGACCGTGGGGCAGGCTGGGATGACAGCGGGAGACGGAGCGGGGGTTCCTGCGTCATAGGGCTGGTGAAAACACGGGTGCTGGCCCTCCCCAGAGAATGTGTTTCTAGCAAGTTCCTGGCCAGGCTGGCACTGCTGGGCCCGGGGCACACGTGGCAAACGGTGTAGATACAGCAAAGGGCCGAGGGGATGTGGGCAGGCAACCTGAAGAGCATCCACGGGAAACCGAGGCAGCGAGAGTGGGAAGGAGTGACTGCGAGGGAGGAAATAAAGGGTCAGAACCGAACGCTGTGGGGGGGGCCGCTATAGGGCAGGGCACACGACCCTCAACCCTTCC